ATTCATTACGTAACGCTTGAATTATTGTGTTAACAAGAAACTTTATAGTTTTTAGAGAGTTCTTGCGTGTGGCGTTTAAAAAAGTTCATTATATGGTTCTCCTTAGTATATGAACAACGCATGAATTTCTTTTTCATTTCTCTTTTCTTTCTCATTTTTCTTGAAAGATTCCTCGTTACAGGTATTTATACATTAATTTTCCCACAATCTCAAGAATAAAAGCTGGTCTTGTGGCAGCATGCCATATTTATCACACAGCCACTGAACGATTCACCGAGCAGCTCCTGTTCTACGGAGACTATCGCCCTCAAAAGAACCGTACTACTTGCATAATTCCCACCTCGCGGTTTCTCCCATATTCTCTTTTTCTACCCCGAAATCTTCCCACTCATGTTTCGCAAAACAATACTACCTGGCGTCCCGTTGCGCCTCCGCCGCCGCCACCCCCGCAGCGGCGGGCAGTTCCTTATTGCGGCCCGGAAGCGCCCTCGCTCGCCCCCGCGGCTTCCGAGGCGCCGGCGCTTCTCTGCGCTTCTGGGAAGCGGAAGGTGCGTGTCAGAGCGACGGCGGTCAAAGACTCTCGTTCTCTGTCCCCGACGCCTCCGCCGCGGAGGAGGTGCCGTTCTCGAAGCAGCCCGCTCGCTCAGCGGCCAACGCGCCGTGCGATTGTTTTTCGACGGACCTGATTCGTTTTTAAGAACCTCTGGCAAGACTTCGGCGTTTTCTGGCGAAATTCCTTCCAATTTTCTTGGCGATTGTGTTTAGTGCGTGACTCGTCCATTGGAGGAAAAATCGTAATTGGTTGTTGTTTTTTTCTAAATCTGCTGATGTTTTTCACGGTTTAGTGATTATACGACATCTATATTTATGGCTAAGATGAAGAAAAGTGAATCAGGAGATGAGTGGTAAACTGTGAGAACTACTCGAAGCCATTGCCGCGAAAACACTCTTGTCAAACTCAGTGTTATCATGGAAATTGTTATTCTTCTCCGCTATTTCATAGAATGGAATAAGTAAGTGACCTTCAATTAAAATTCAATAAATATAAATTGATAAAATAAAATAAAATCATTGATTGGTAATATTCAGTTAAAATGTACTTCATGTTTTTAATTCAAATTTTCGAGATGACTTTGATGTATTAAGAGATTCATAGCGAGTTTAAGTTTCTAGTTTCTACCGTAGTAAAGTGACCCAAATCAATGACATATCTGATCCTTCTGCTCTCAATATTTGATATTGCCGGCATCTGAACAAGATACGGCATCTAATTACTGCATGTGAAGCCCCAAGTCGCTCTCCTTGCGCGAGGCATTACACCCACGCGCGGCATCTCGGCACTTGGCGGCGACCAGAAGCGTACAGCGCCCCCCCCCTGCCCCAACCATAACTCGGCACCGCGGCGGCGACCCCGTTCCCCGGTTCGAGCCCCGCCGGTACGGGACTCTGCGGTCTTCCGCACCGGCCTTGCCGCTGCCGCCTGTGGGCCCAAACAGCTCCGGAAGGGCGCGGCGCGGCGCCGGTGTTCCATTCAAGGCGAAGCAAGCAATCATTAGACCTTCATTAATTTATATCACGTTTAGAAAATAAAATACGAAACGAATATGACTAGTCTGTAGTATCGTTTTTTGGTCATCTTTTTTCACCTGCCTTGTCCAAGCCGATATGAAGTTGATGATTGGCACCGGCAAAAGGATATGCATAAATAAATATATAGTGTAATGTGTCTATGATATTATCAGTTTGTTGTATAAAAAATATCTAAACGAGTCAAATAAAGTTCAATGTTCGGATAATAAAATATTTCGGTTTGGGTATCAATTTTTAATTCAAAAAGTTTTGGTTTCGTTTGCATTGTCTATATTGAGACGGTTCCAAAGAGTTTTCGTATATGTTTATTGAGTAATTTAGAAATTAGTTATAACCCTACAAAACTTTCGTCAATCGAATTTTTTGTTGGTTTTCTTTCAGGGCAAAAGTCTCCAAAATTTTAAATAAAATGTATAAAAACTAACTTCCAGCTATTTATTTTAATGAAGTAAATACGGTTTTCGATTTGCTGTCATAATTGAAACTGTTTTTGGTTGGGGTTTGTTGCCTTGGAAATGAATAAGATAAACGCCAATCTGCCTTCGAGAATAAATATTTTCAATGTTTCTATTTTCTTTCAACTTATATTTTCGCGGTGTTAGATGTTCGAATGACACATCCACGAATATTCTTGCACAAAACGCTTATTAACGCGCAAGATATACGCAAATTACCAAACGTTTCAACCCTATGTATGAGTGGCTCTTTTATCTCATCTCCTATTAGTAGTATTATTATTAATTTCCTTGTACCAATTCGTTCTCTCTTTTGCAAACATTTATAATTTATCTTCAAAACAAGACATATATTGCGTACGCTTTTATGAACTGTTTACTTTTTGAAATATATTTTGTCCTGCCTTTTGGCTCCCTTCACCCAGTGTCCGGCGGGCGCCGCTGGACTCGCGGGCTGCGTCTTCACGCTCGAGATCCTCGCTGCGGCGATCACCCCCTCCCCCCCTCCCCCGCGATTGCCGCTTTCCTCCTCTTCGACGTGGCCGCGGCGTCTTGCACGTCGCTTCAACCACCACTGTCTTCTTGGCATAAATGATTGTCCTCGTCATTTAAAGCTGTGTGGTAAACTATAAGAGGATATTTATTCTTTTATCCATTTATCCATGTTGAATTGGAGTGTCGTGAAGTGTTGTGAAGTGTAGTACAATAGAGAAGTCAAGTGCAAGTGTAGTGTAGCGAAGTGAAATGCAAGTGTAGTGAAGTGAAGTGAAGTGAAGTGCAGTGTATTTATTAGTTAAAAATTCCGTGCACGGCAGTCATAGATTGTATAGGTAATGCTGTTAGTTTTTATTGTTATATTGTTATTATTGCCTTAAAATACTTTAAAATTACAGTGTATTACTATTCTTAGTTGTAATATGTAAAATGTAGTGTTCTGCCACCAGGTTCTATACCTACCTGCAGAAATAATAAATCTATCTATCTATCTATTAGATACGTCAGGTGCATTAAGAAATAGAAAAATATTCGCAATCTCGAATTGTCACATTTATCTACGATTTCTTTCCCCAGTACTTACATAGATGTAGCGTGGAATGGAATCGTATGGCTATGACAAAGTCTTTACCGGTGGTAATTCAAGTTGACCCAAGGAATACAAACAATCGTAGGGAAATTTATGTTGTGTCTGCTGATGCATTCCATTGAGCTTTCATTGACCGAATCCTCTCCTAGGGCAGGAGAAAATTTGACCATTTTGGTTTAAACGTTTTTTCAAAACCGACAGTTCTTAATAGTTTCACACATCTCATTTAATAGGCACAAAAATAAAACTTCTGATCGCGTTCGACTATCACTTATCTTCAATTTTGTTCGAATTACAAAAGCACATGATTGCAGATTATGATGTTTAATATTTTTATGTTCTCCTCTTTCTGTTGGTAACAGATAGTAACTCCTGTTGTAATTGTGTCCTTTTTTGCGTCTGTTCGTTTTAGCATTAGGTGGAATTCGGAATGACCTCCATGTCGTAGATTCAGCTGGCAAAGGCTCCATAAATATTCATTGAAACATCTATCAGGGCACCCGGTTGATAAGGCAAAAAATTATGCAAGTGAAATTCCCCTGATAATAACAAATGTTTTTTTATTACAGATTCTGAAAAAAATATTTTGGCATATCTGGTCTGTCAAACAACAATGAAAAACTAAAAGTGTGTTTAAGAGGAAATTTGAAATGCCGTATGAAAAAGTGTGAAGCGAGTCAGTCGTATAACAAAAGACAAGCGGCGAATGTGAGTGGCTCATCACGTAGATGTGACGTGGGTTCGAAACCCGCCTTGAACGTGAATGTCTGTCGCTTTGTTGCCTATCTCATTGATGTCACCGCGAATCCTGCACATATTTAATTTGAGTGCTTGACCGGCAAAGGTTCAAAAGTTATGCAATACTACCAGTGATAATGATATTATGAAATGACGTATGAAACCTAATTTTGCTATATTAACAGAACCTCATGACGAATATCAATAGTCGTTTGCTTAACGGGACCTAGAGGAGGAAGTATTCAAGAGGTTTGTAAGTCCTTCTTTGAAAGTAGATACCTGTCATAAATGGCTTATGACGATACGTGGTTGGAATTGGAACGCTGCGTGCATGAGAATTTGCTGCATACTATTGTCGTTAGTGTCCGACAGAGCGTAAAGTGGGGAAGATTTTGTGGTCACGCGACTACTGTGTCAGACTAACTGACAAGATCAAGAATGCTAATGTAATATTTCCTGAAAACAAGTACCTTTATTTTTCCACGGCTCTTTCGGTATTCAAATTGAAATGATTTAATCTCGCCATTCATTCAAACATTTCCCACTTAGATAATAGTCTACATGCGTGACTCGTTGATTGTTTGCAAAAGTAACGTATGTTGTAAAGTTTCTGACAATCCAAGCTGTTTAATCTACTCCATATTTTTCACATTATATTTTATTATGTAATTCCAAACCCAACCCAACATTAAAAAATGGCTTTTGACTCACTCAAAGAACTGTATTTCCAAAATATATTATTAGAAGAATCATGAAAGTAAGTAGTAGACGTTCACTGTACTCTTACATTTCTCAAGGTTTCTGTTTTAATATAGATGTTTCCCTTTTTATTTCGGCTGAAACTAACGTATTTATAAAGATAACGTTAATTATTAATTTAATTAACTTTCTTAATTTAAATATCAAGTTCATAATTCGTAAGGGGTAAAGGCAAACTATTTCAACATTTCTCAGAAAACGTCGTGTCGCATAAATGCTGTGCTTTAGACCCGTTTGTAAGCGCTCATAACCACGATTTTGTTGGTGCGTTCCGTGGACATTTGCCCCAGAACACGTTGTGACAGCATTAGCCTATCCAATCCTGCAAGGCCTTCTCGTGCGCCCTCTCCTCGCCACGCTGCCTAGAGGCCTACCTGCGCGTGCGGCTTGAGGGTGGTGCTGCGGTGGTCCACGGGGCGCTGGCGGCGCGGCATCGACGCCCCCGACGCCGCTGCGGTGGCTGGCGCCGGCGTCGTCCCGCTCTGCGCCGAGGGGCTGGGGCTCGTGCTGCTGGTGCTGCTGGTGCTGCTGGTGCTGGTGGCCGTGGCGATGGAAGCGAGCGCCATGCCGCGGTGCCTGCGAATGGGCTTCCACGCGCTGCCGGTGCCTTCGATCGTCCCCGCGCTGGCGCCCGCCGCCACCGCCACCGCCACCGCCCAC